TTTTTTTTTCGATTTTTCTAAGAATTTTCTTCAAACTTCCTCCAGAAGAGCTACTTTACTCTTTCTCTGGAAGTTTTATCGGCTTCCTTCAAAAGGTAGTTCAAACATTTCCCGGAAATTTGTTAAGACTTCTCCTGGAAAGCAAAATTTCTGTTCAATATAAAATTAATTAAGGTAATAAATATCGATTTCTTTAAACTGTTGATACCGATGAGCTGGAAAACAATCTTGCAACGTTGCTTCGAATTCCAAAATAAGCACTATTCCCTGCCATAAAGATGCGTTTGAGCTCGCCGTTGCAATGTTAATACGTCTTAGAATCTCGCTCCTGGGGTCATTATCGGCGGTCACCAAGGAGCTCGATTTCATCGCCGTCAAGGATTTTGGAACAAAAATAGGCAGAAAAGGTCACTTAGGAATGAAAATCCAAAGAAGTGTCCTATGCGAATTCTAATCATATTTCCAAAAAAGTTCGGATCATAATTTAAAGGAGTTTTCAAGTATATTTTGGGAAACATCCCTAGGAAATCAAATGTTTAGATAATTTTAAGGAGAGCTTCAAGATAATTATAAAGCAGTTTCGATAGGAATTCTGGGCGTATTTTGATGAGAATTCCAAGAAGATTTTGAAAAGAAAAATCTAAATTATTTCTAAGGACAATTCCAAATGTTATTCTAAAGGAATTTTAAAGAAAGTTATGCAGAGCGACTACTTGAAAACATGAAAAATTTGAGCTAAGTTGTGGAGAGAATTCTATGAGTTTTCTGGAGGGAACATGAAAATTTACGTATTCTCGTCAATGTATGCAGCGTCTATGATTTTATGTGCGTTTTCTCGGCGTCACGAGTTTGCGACATCTTCCTATTCTTCGCATTTCAAGCTTATTGCTCATTGCAAATTAGCTTATTGCGTGCTCTCAACTTAGTGTTCTATATGCACTTCCACAGTTATGAATTGAGAGCTTTCGATGCCTGTACCATTTTTGCATAATTGTCGTGGGAAGACGAGAAATTTTCCTGTCCGAAAAATTTCTAGACCGGACTGGGAATCGAACCCAGGGAGCTGAACTAAGAGAGGCCCTGGGGTACCCAAAACATGTCCGGATGTGTCCAATGTAGTCCTGTGCACTTCATATAACCAACATTGCACTTGGGTTTTAATTCTCATGATAGGTTTGGGTCCAAGTCAGAAACTGGCCTCTTTGCCTGGGGTACCCGGAACATGTTCGGATGTGTCCAATGTGGTCCTGGGCACTTTATATAACCACCATTGAACTGTTTTTTTTTAAATTCTCATGTGATTTGAGGTGTCGCGTGATGGGTTTTAGTCCATATCAGAAACTAACCATTTCCTCTGGGGTAGCAGGAACATGTCCAGATGATAACCATTGAGCTCCTCATGTGATTTGAGATGTCACATAATGGATTTAACATTATTTAGATCGTTTCGTGAGTCTAGAACATGTTTCGGCCACATCCACAGAACCAATTTCAAAAATATTCAACAGCGTTTTTCCACAATACCTCTTCAGTGGTTGTTGGGTGCTATTTGGTCCATTGTTTGCTAAGAAACACATCGCCTAATATTGTGTAACACACATATATAAACACATCCATATACACATTGAACATCAAATACATGTTCTGATCTCGTCTAGCTGAGTCGAATGGTTTATGACACTTGGCCCTCCGGCGTCGGATCGAAACTCGGTTTTCTAAGCGATATGTATTTGTAATAATATAAAATACAAAATGTAAACAAAATGTTTAAATATGTATTGCAATTACTTTCGATTCAAACCTTTTTAAACTCTATCTATATAACAGAATTCCAGGGAAGTTTAAAGGTGTTTAAGAGAATTCCATTTATTTTAAAATGAGATCTTCATAAGAGTTGAGAGTTTAAGGGAAGCTCCGAGAGCAGCGACTTACAAGGAGTTCCTTAGAATTATGAGATATTCCGAGAATTCTATGATTGGTCCGAAAACTTTAAAAGCTTCAGGGAATTATAAATATATATATCAGAAAATTTACCGCAACATTTGATCAATTTAGAGAAATTAAGGTAAGCATAGAAAACTTTTTGCAGGCAAAATTAGTGATTTAAGGCAAAGTTCCGTGAGCGTTTATAAACTTTATAAGGAAAATTGTAGAACTTAAAGACAATTAAATCCATTCCAGTTGAATAGTGGGTTCTTTTTTTAAAAAATACTAAGGCAGGGCAGCCTATAGAATTTTAAGGAAATTGAGAAAAAATTTGGGCAGTTTTAAAAACATCAGGAAACTCTAGACTATTGAAGAAGCTATGAATTAGTTTTGATAATTTGAACTTCAGACAAATCTTGAGAACTTCAGTGAAAATCATAGAACTATATTAATTATTTCGCTGTAGGGCGGAAGCCTAAAGACGTTCCTGTCATTTCAGAATAACTTCGAAAATTTCACAGAAGTACAGAGATCTTCAGAAAAATTTCGAGAACTTCATAAAAGTCTATGGAACTTAAGGGAAGATCCGAGAACTTCAGTAACTTTTATGGTCATTTCGGGAGCATCTTAAATAAGTTTAGTAAAGCTCCAACAACAAAGGGAATTTCAGGGGAGTTCAGTTCAATTAGTTTCACTAAATAAGCGGGAAATTTCAAGAAGTTCCTAGATTTTCAGAGAATTTTAGTGATTTTATAGATGATTATTAAACATTTTTAGAACAGTTTAATTAAATTCATGGTAGTACAACAAGCTTCATGAGAACTGCAAACACTTGAGAGAAGTTTCGAGAACTACGAGAAGATATTGATCTCGCTAATAAAGCTCTAAACAAAAAAAAAACTTCATGAAAGGCGGATATCCTCAGAGCAAATATATTCCAGAGCAAGGAAATTACATAAATTTTAAAATATTTTCGAGAAATTCAGTGAATTGTTAACACTTTAGAGAAGATTCATGATCGTTAGGAAAATTGTTAGGAAGTCCGAAAAAGTTTAGAAAAGTTAAAAGAAATGATGAGAAGTATTGCGAGCATCAGGTTAGTTTCTCAAACTACAAAAAAAAAACTTTTCAGGCAGTTTAATTAAATTCAGGAATATTTTGGGAACTTTCAAGTAGTTATGAAGACCTTAGGTTAGTTCATTCCTTATTCAATGTAGATTTCTCATAAAAATTCACATGGAGTTTACTATCTTAATCTTAGGCTTCACATGAAGTCTAAAATTCCTCAGAAGTACCATGAACGCAGATTGCAGTTGATGTTTTTCTCATAGATTTTTTTCCCAAAACTCCCGTGGAATGAGATCCTTAGAAATTATAATAAAATTCCATGAGCCTGTGCAAGGAATTCGACTCCAGATTCTTGAAAATTAGTAGTATTATAACTTTTCAGTTCAGAATTTCTAAATTCATGTATTCGTTACTGAAGATTTATCCATTCTGGATCTATAAAGTTCAATGTGTGAATTAAAATAACTAGGGATATTAAATGTTTTTATTTTAAAATACATTCTTAGTAAGAAAATTATTAAATTTCCTGAGAAATGATAAGGTTCCCTGATACTTCCAGGTATTTTCAGGAAAATAAATTTCCCTGCTAATTCCCGGTTTTTTCAGGTAGTAGAAGCTTGGAGGTTTAGTTATAAACTTTCTATTGAATCTTTCGCTTTAAAGGTTCCTATCGTTCATATTTAAGTGTTTATGAGAATTTAATTGAATAAGTCTAAAGCATCAAACATTTATTTGGTATGCCATCAGAACGACTAATTTTCTTCCCTTAGGTCACTTTTTAGTCACTTTTTACAACTATAAGTCACTATTTGGTCACTTATTTCTTCAACATGGTCACTAAAATTACTATTTTTGACAGCATTGATTGCTACCAGCCCTGCATTTATCTAAAAAAGCTTGGATTCCGGAAAGCCACCTGTAAATGTTAATGTAGTCGAGTACCCTCAGAATATCATTCAACGATCTTGTATACAATATCAAAATGTTTGACACGTTTTTCATAAATCTGACCACTTTTCACGGAGGAATCTGGATTTCAAAACGCAACCTGGAGTGGCCAAAAAAGTACCCTCAGAATGACCGCCAATGATCTTGTTTTGCGAAATCACGAAGTTTTATATGTCGCAATCCAGGTTTTGGTACCACTCTAAATCTGGCCACTTACCCCGGGGAACCAAGAATGAACGGTGTGATGGAATACCTTCAGAATGACCACCAATGGTCTTGTTTTATAAGGGAACGAACCAACCCAGGGCTGAAAGTCTCCACAATAAAAATATATAAAAAAAATCTTGTTTTATTAAATTATGAAGTTTGATATGTACAAGCCAGGTTTTGGTACCGTTCTAAATCTGGCCACTTGTGGAGATAACGGTAGTTCTCAACGTTTCATGTATTTCAAAGTCATTTGGCATCAAACATTTTTTATAGATTTGCTAAATTTTATTCTGAAACCGCCCTTGGGTTATTTTTTAGTTTAAAAATCTGCACCACCCAGTCAAACCTGATGAAAGCCAATTTTTTTCATAGGGTTGTATGTATGTACATTTTGTATAAGTTGCATTTGGCAATATCAAGATGGCCATTTTCATTAGCACCCTAATATATGTATGGTGAAATCAATTGTGGTGAAATTTTCTTACGAAATGGGCTCAGCAGACAAAGCTACGCAATAATTTATTTCTGAAATATGTGACTGCAGAGTTGCAAATTGTGAACGTTTTCCACTTGTGGCAGCTATACCAGCAAAACTTAACCAATAACAGCAGGTTCATGCTTATCTTATCGAAGGAAGCTTCAAGTTTGCTCAACATCATATTTATGACATTAAAACCCATCACCAGTCCACACCGTTATCAGTACAACATTTGCGGTTTTAATCGAGCGTTCACAAAATCTGCTTCGTCCAGCTGTTTATTGTTATCTTTCGATGGCCATTCTATTCTTTCGTGTTTACTTTGTTGCCTATCACTAATACTTGCATATCGTTTTTTAACTCTTTCCAGGAACATTCCATCGGTTAAAGCACAGTGGAAAATTCGCATCTAGTGGCCATAGAACTCCCGTATCCAGTGACTTCCATCCATGCAACTAACGATAGCAGGGTGCAAAGTGAAGAGCAGTGTCAAATATAATGCGGTTGTGAGATATTAGAATATGAATGAGGTTAGAGATAGTGGCAACGAAAAATCAGCTTTGGCTATCAACTGGTAATGAAGATATCGAATTTCAATTAGGGAATTGTTTGCACGATAAAGTGTGCTAAAGAAGAGGTTTTCTGTTAAGGGTGGTCGTTTTGTTCTTATATTCAGGAATCAAATCATAGCAAGTGTGAACAACAAGTTGTTTTATCCATTCCCATCGGATGGGCTATGGGCGGTAGTGTGCAATGAGCAGTTGTTTTGACTGTTGGTCAGTTGTAGTGAAACAAAATTTCGGTATCAATCTAGTGCAGTTTATAATTGTGAGCTGATAACGATGAACGTAGGACAGCATAGTGGCCCAGGGCCGCCACTCAACCGCACTGGCTGCTCGGATCGCTCGGTTACCGGACCTTCCTGCAGGGCACTGCGTACGGCCGTGTCGGCATTGTATTGCTTGGATGATTTCATACGGGAAAAGATCGGTGCTGGTTTCTTCTCGGAGGTCTATAAGGTAAGTTAAAAACACTGTTTCGTTTGTGCTGCACTCTTCACAACCAACCTGACATTTAATCAATTGATTCCACTTTCGCACGGCAAATCAACCGTTAAGAAGCGTAATTTTGCGAATCGACACGAAAAAATCAATCTCAAGCCATTGCAGGTGATTCAGCAAGCCTATTGTACGTATTAGGATAAGGCACTTAGAAAATAGCAAATTTCCCTACAAAGCCGCATGGATTAAAAGAAACATGAATGAATTTTCGGACGGGTTTCCCGGTTCCGGGCAATATTTGTTTTAAATCTAGAAAAAAATGATTTAATTATCGAAACAAATTACTGCAGCCTGTTGCAGTTGATCAATTGCTGGCCATTAATTTCACCAGTTTATATTAATTGCCGATTTGTCCGAACCCCCAGCGTACCACAAATGACAATCGACAGAGAACTAATCTTCTGCAATACAACTTGTAGATGTAGGTAGAGCTTGCCGTTCGACAGTTATAAATCGATACGTATCGATGGCTTTCTAGAGCTAGAGCTTCGGCCAATTTCGCTCGTCCATCCGTGTCTCACGGTGGATTAGCTCCTCGGTCTTGCCTTAGTCGGCGTTATGAGCCATTGCGCTCGTCGCCATCAAAATTCGTGCTGGCCGTTGGTCAGAGTGCCGCGGAAATCGATTCTCTTCCGCTTTTCTCGCAATGTGCTTTAGGCATATACCAGCAAGCAATGAGCACGGGCGCGTGTGTTTTCCATCTAGTAAACCGAGTATAATATATACATTTTAATCGCTTTCATTAACTATCTTCTTTATTTTCCAGTTCCTAGATTAAGAGACAGGGTTTCACACTGGGAAGTGTAGTGTAGTGGTACTGAAAGTAGGTAGAGCTATTCATTGCGGTTTAATTGATTGATTTCGTATCATAATTACTGGTGACTGTTAGTGGTATTGAGATAGCTTGCCATCTGTAAATGTAAATTAAGGAAACAAAAGCTACGCAGATTTTAAAATGTACTGATCTTAGCTAAAAAGTAAAATTTGGTTATTGGTAAGGGCAGCTTTTTCCTCAATCTGTTGGTTGGATACTGCTCCTAGATGGGTTGATAAGTTTTATTACATTTGATTTTATTTAACTATTGGCCTATGTTTTTGAATGTTAACTACCCATCTATCTGAGCGTGGATGTCTCTCTAAGGAATTCCCATTAGAAAAGTCTTAGAATTTGCGTTACAATTATCTTTGATTCTTATTAAAATTTCTTAAATTTCTATCCATAATAATATGGATTTGTGTTTTCTTAAAAATTACATTGGAATATTCCACAGAATAAGAATTCCATTAGAGATAATCTCTGAATCGTCTTTGAATTCTAATGGAAATCATCTAGGAATTCTCCCGATGCTTTTCTTGAAACTTACATTGGAATTCACGCTAGCGTTACCAAAGTCTACTTCCATAATCTCCTTAAAATTCCACTCAACATTTAATTCACTCCACTTGAGAATCTCTATGGATTTATTTGGGATTAACCTTGGAATTTTCTTACAGTTCCCTACGAAATTTCCTTGAAACTTTCCTTGAAATTAAATTGCAGCTATGCTATGAATTTGATTTCCTTGGAATTTCTCTCGCAATTCCCTTCAGACCTCAAATACTATTGTGACCTCAAATTCTATACTAGGTGAGAACAAGTTATGCAAGTCCTAGTTTCCCTACAAAATGCTTACTTTGTAGTCATTATTGGGTATTTTGTAGTTGCCGTGTAGGTCCCTCCCCTTGGCTAGATTTGCACCTTGCTGTTGGTGGACGCGCTTAATTTCATGCTAGTGGAGTGTTGGAGAAGGTAGGTTTATTGCCGGCGTTGCTTGCTCATGCCGCGATAGAATGGCGCCATGGGCAGGCAATGGGGATTACTAAGCTTCCCCTATCTGATAAACCACTTCATGAGAAAACCAAAGATCTAGTGTAGCAGTGATAGTATCACACTTGTTACTCCTTTGATTGAGAGCCGCGTCGTAGTACGCTTACGTATAGGCACTGACGTTGGGTGTGATACTGGCGGGTTTTGCCGCAAATCACTCTTAATTTATTTATTTTTACGCAGATAGGGTAGAGAACTTCTTCTGCCTAATCGCCCATTTTAGACCTATCGAGCAGTAAACTTCAAATAAATCCATTATTTCGGCGTTAACAAGTCAATTATGCGTTTGGTACGATACTATAGTTAATAAGCTACCGAACGAAGTCAATTAGAACGCGTGAACCCATAATTCACATAAACAAAAGAAGCGCTCCGACAGAATCAATTTTTATCCTCATCCGATAGGCCGAAGTGAATTCATTGGCGTTTCAATGCGTTAGGCCGAGTTAGAATCCGTAGGCCGAGTTTGGCGTCAAGAAGCAGTGTTAGACTCTTGACAATATCTCAACGATTGGTTTCTCTTAATCAAATTTTACGATACGTACGGAAAGGTAAATAAATATGGAAGCCATCAGTAATAATAACATTTAGTTTGGTGCTAAACTGCGCTAGGTTAAGAAAGACTAAGTGCGGGTTGTGCTTAATAGGGGTAGTTAACCCTAGATTTATTTGGGTTTGCAAGGGAATTATCTTACGACTTACGAGGCTTCCGATCTTTAAAAAAATCATGACTTTAACAGTTGTATTGTTGGCACTAATGATAGCTGTTTTGAAGTGATTCCATCGAATTGTATTTATAGAAAAGATTTTTCGCATCTTGAAATCAACATAAATCACCATTTTTTTTAAATTCTTCACATGTTTTTGTTTTATATCCATCCGAGCTCAATCCTGAAGATAGCTAACCAATTCCACCCCATTGGTGGTGGTCAACACCAAATTATCCTAAAAATCAATGCATTAACGGTTTATGTTCCATTTCAGTTGTGTTGGCCATTTCAATCAACTTCTTGCAGGACCCACTTATTTTCCCTTTCTCTCAAGCGGTCAATTTCCGCCTCCGGACCATACCGAAATCAGGCGCACGCGCATCACTCTCATCTAACGGTTGATCGAGCTCACCAGCTCGAAGGCGCAAACCGGCGTGATTAATTTCTTTTTTTTTTTGCGTAAATGAGGGCTTCCGTCAATCCGTGTATCTTGTTCACAAGCTCCTTTGGGGAGTCTGAAAAAAATGATGTTAAGTAGTTTGCGAAGGTCACGAAACGCTGTTCAAGATGCTCGCGCCCTCCGTAATCTGTTTTGCTCCATTCTACTGTTGGCACATGTACTTTTTACAACTACTAGTGCAACCATTGCTACCAGCTACTGACAGCCAGGCCCCTGCTCATAAATGGTCAATGGTCAACAATGGAAGGTGGTCATGATGGTTATTATAGCCGCTGCTAGTAGTCCGAAAAATAAATAAAATGTTGCTATCGGATGAAATTTGGAAGCGTAATGGAAAAGACTCCGGAGAAAGCAGCAGCAGCAGCAGCTGTTGCTACAGCGAAGAAAAGGAAATAATGTTTTCGAGGTTTAAGCGTGGAACGGTATTTTTTTTGATGCTCCGTGTATCTGGAAAATTATGATGTTTGCCCGGGTTCGGGAGGTGATGTCTTCATTAAAAAGGCATGGTTTTCTGGGTCAACTTGATGGTTTGTACTTGAAGTCTCAATTGGTTCATCGCATTGGATTATGAAGGGCCAAGAGATGATCAACGACCGGCGACTAATCCAAGCCATAAATTACATCAGTTGAAGTACCACTGGAATAGTCAATGTCAATGACGCAGCAATAGCCTAACCGTGTGGAGAAAGAAGCGATAACGTTCGAAAAATATTGTGGATGCTCTGCACTGCCAACGAACGATAAGTCCGCGCCAATTATTCCTCTGATAAGACCAAAGCCAAAACTAATTACACGATACTGGTCACGTCGAAAGTTGGACGGTGCGGAATGTGGCTTGAGTGTTTGTTGTTGTCGATGTTCGTTTCGAAGAAAATATTTCGGAGTGCCTCAAGGACGAACTGAGCTCTCTTCTTCTCTCTGTGTTCCACAACTGGTCCGTACGACCGTGTGCGATTTATTCAGTAAATGAATTTAATACTTGTTATAGTCGATTTTTATATGGTGATGGTTTGTTTTGATGTGATTATTGTTTTTTAAGAGGATGGGCTGGCAAGTCGTCAAATTCATAACTTTAGAGGCTTACTATTCAATAGCAAGATCGTGTAACGATTTTAAGACATAAATTTTATGTATTTATACATACTAACAAAAGACTTACGTATTTTTTCGTTACATACAATACGTTCATCTAAAACCGCTGCATAAACGCGTTTCACATGAAATCCTAAATAATGCAGGAATAGATTTTGGTACACCGGAGCAAGACATTGCGGATTAAGGTAGATTCACCAATCGTGGCTGTACGCTGGACGCATGTACTTTTCATAATAGATCAGTCTTCTTTCATCAAAACTGAAACATTATGCTCGCCCTCAACTTAGTGTTCTTCGAGCCCTGACAACGTTGGCGTGATCAATGATACTCTCTATGTGCATGGAAGTCAAGAAATTTGGCAGCCCGGTCTTATTTTGTAGTTGCGCTAATAAACTGAGCTAACCATTTCCATTCATAGTTTAGGGGTAATTTCTCTATACAGCAAAACAATATTTCAATACCGCAATCGCAATATACTAACAATCACCAAAATACGAATGTAATAATGCCACCAACGGAAATCAGACAAATATAATAAAAATTTACAACGTTGTGCTCAATTCCATTGGTTGCGAAACACTACACCAGATCTGATTCCTTTAAATTAAATGTTTGTATCTATCAATATTCGCTTATATTCATGAAATCTCTTGGTACCGGTAATTTACCGGTTTTACCTTTAATTTATAGGTATTACCGTTACTGAACCGCTCAGTTCCGAAAACCCGGTACTTGCAAAAGGTAGGAAGGCCTTGCACTCCTTCACGCGATGCATATTCTTTTTGTAGACCGAGCAATCTATTTTTGTTGCTCCATCATGAATTAG